CCAGGACCTTGCACACTACAGATGTTAAACTAACAGGCCTGTAGTTACCCAGATCACTTTTTTTCCCTTTCTTGAAAATAGGAACCACATTAGCTATTCTCCAGTCTAACGGAACCACCCCCGAGTTTACAGATTCATTAAATATTATCGCTAAGGGGCCTGCTATTTCCCGCGCCAATTCCTTCAATATTCTCGGATGAAGATCGTCTGGTCCTCCCGACTTAGCCCCATCAAGGCTTACAAGTTTTGTTTCTACCTCGGAAACGGTAATCCCCCATTCTGTTTGCCCCTCTGTCACGGTGCTAGTATCCCTAATATCTTCATTGGCCTCATTAAACACCGATGCAAAATATTCGTTGAGATATTGCGCCATGCTTAGGTTATCTTTAATCTCCTCTCTGGCTATAGTCTTCAGCGGTCCTACTTCTTCCTTCTTTGCTTTCTTCCTATTTATATGGCTGTAAAACCTCTTACTATTGCTTTTAATTCCCTTCGCTAGGTCCAACTCTACACGGCTTTTGGCCTTTCTCACTCTATCTCTACGTTCTCTGACTTCACTAAGGTAAGTTTCCTTACTGATCACTCCCCTCTTCCAGTCTTTGTATGCTTTCTGTTTTTTCCTAATCGCCCCTTTGAGTCGGTCGCTCATCCAGCTTTGTTTAGCTCAGTAGGGATGTCCCTTTTATCCTCTTGAGAGATCTCGATAAACTTTCATGGAGATACTCTGCAATTCTTTCTTGAAGAATTGTAGCCTTATTTCTTTTCCTGCAGTAGGAGACTTTCCCATGCCGCTCTGCAAGGAGTTTGGCTGTCACAATTGCAGTAATCAGGCTAGCAGCATACAGGCCCAAGTGGCTTTGGAATGTCAGTAGTAGCTCTGTTCTCTGTGCCTTTGGCACTGCCTGGAGTAAGTGATCATCCAAAATCATTGCTGTGTGTGAAAATATTGCCAATATTCACTGCACTGTCCATATACCCATACCTGATGAATGGTGCCTATCATTGAAAACTTCTGAGCAACAGAACACCACCTCTCCCGTCCTCCCCGTTAGGCTAGGGCAGACTGTATTCACTATGGTTTGAGCTGCCGAGTGACGCTGCAGCTAGGTGCTCCAGAACTAAAGTGACAATGAGCATTTCTTATTAAAAGATAGGAGTCTTGAGACTCATCTTTCCCTGTCCACTGTGACTACATCTAATGATGGATCTGTCTGTTTTAATCAGCAGCCTCTGGCATGATGTCCTTGAGAGATGCCCCTTCCATGCCTGCTTAACATCTGACCCTGATCAGGATGAGAAAGAGGACTGGGGAAGATATTTTCTCCAAAATATTCCAATCCTCCATAGTTTTAGACCGGGAACCAAAGGCTCAGAGGGACCATATGACTGTGGCCCTGGAGAAAGACCAAAAAATGGAGAGAGAGAGAGAGAGAGAGAGAGGTGTCGTCTAAGAGAGAGAG